TTGGACACTTAGTCCTGATCCCACTATCACACTGCTAGTTGGTCAGCAAAGCAACAAAACAGGTGAACAACTGCAGGTTGATTTACTGGAGGAAGCCTCTGATCAGTCGATTGAATCAAATGTCATTTGCAGCAAATGAAAGGATACAACCCAAGGAGTCTCTCTTTTTGACAAGTCTGTGAAGACTCTCAGTCATCCAGGTCACGGCTATTTTGGTAGATTAATCGTAGCAACTGGTCTTGCTTGAGTTCCTTGAAGACGTTTCACTTCTCATCCAAGAGGCTTCATCAGTTCTGACTGACTAGTTGGGAGTTCCACATACTTACATCCTAAAGGAGCCATTAACACCTGAGTTTCAATTTGGGGTTTGTTGCTCCTCCCCCTCGTTATGTGAATCCTTAGCACTCCCCCTGCCACAATGGGGTTCCTTTGGATCTTTTGTGGCTAGGTGTGGATGTGGTTTCATCTTCCTGGGGAGAGATCTTAGGACTGAATTGTAAACAGGTGAGAGGTGATGCCTCAGACCTCCACCTCTGCTGAGGGATGGTCTTTCCAGTCAGATGGCTTCTGTCACTCCTCTCTCAAACTATCTGTCCTCCCTGCAGGCCAACATCTGTACGTTGGTGTCTTTGAATGAGTGTCCTTAAGATGCAGGTGGATGCTGAGTCCTGCCTGAGGTGGTGGCTCTTCTGTTTTTGACAAAGGAGTCAACAAACTCAACCAAAACTTTCTGAATATCTTCAATTTTACATAAAAATAAGACACACTGTCATTGCTGACATTTGGACTTAAGTGTGTAAATAGAAAACTGAGATTCATTTTGGTTTAAGCTGAGCCTCCTTTTCAAGGAAATTTCTATTTTGTCATATATTATCAACATAACGTCTTAAATTACGGCTAATTTCCTTCTTTACAAACTGCTATTCAGTTACAGCTAATGAACCAAACTCCAAACAGCTCACACTCATTACACACACTTTGTTCTTTTGTACAAAACCACGCTGTATTTCAATAAAAGCACGTCTTCCTTCGTTATTTCAGCGCCCACACTGTTGTTGTTGCACCATAAACATGTTTAACTTTAACAGCCTGTTTAGCTAATACTGCGGCGGATTACGTAACAGCCGACCGTTAACTCACCATTTTAAACCGAGTGTCGGTGACGTGTAACCGGAAATTCAGGAAAACCCGTTAAAGGTGCATTACGAAAAATAAGCAGTTTCTATTTACTGACATAAAAAATACCGGAGTAATAAATGACAGTTTACAATCCGCCGCTGGTTTGTTTACATCCCTGTGTGTCGCAGCCTCAAGATTCCCACCCGTCCCCTGTCTGTGTGAACATGGTTCCGACGTATGTTTGTTCCTACTTCAATGGCGACATTCACCAACAGAATATATTAATAGAATATATTTCTAAATAAATGTATCGGCGATTTATATTGTTTATTGTTTGTCTATTTTTTTTGTCTCGAGTAATAAAACTTTCATGACACTGCATAAGAAAAGTAGAACAAATACAGCACAATTTGCACACAATCCATAAAAACTTTTTTTTTTTTAAACAGCCTATTTAGTAATAAACTAAGAAACTGAGTTTAGTTATGTTGTGTAGTCCTTGTGCCCTTGTTGTTGTTTTTTAAGTAATATTGTATACTTTGTAGCTTTATTAATATACTTATTGTAATTTATTTTTGTTTTACATGTGTTACCTTTGAGTTTGCTGCCTCTGTTCTGGTGTTTGTGATCATA